ATAAAATATAAGAAAAATATAGAAAAAATATGCTAAAAATATAATATATGTTAAATAATACTAAGAAATAATAACTAGCTAGAATATATGAATAAAATATAATAATAATAATCAAGAAAAAAAAGAAAAAAGAAATTCTATTATAATACCATAAACCCACTATATATTCTATATAGAATTACAGTTTATTATACAATAATAAAGCTTTTAATACAAGAAAATAGTCAAAAAGAGAGGTCAAATATACCCAGGAGCGATGTAAATATTCAAAAGATTAATTGGAGAGCATACATTGATGTCTCTCTGCCTTGGGGAAAAGGCAGGGTTTATATATTTTTCAATAATGCCGTATAATAATGACATGTAATAATGCTAGGAAATAATGCTATAAATCATTAGTAACAATTCTAAATTTTAATATTGAGTATAAATTTATGATAATTACATATTATATTACTAATGTTAATCATTGCAAATCATTGCAATAATACTATATACTATTAATTAAGTCATCATAATGCTATTTTAAAGCTAAAAATAGTTACAAAAATAATAACGACATGAAATAACACCGTCTAATAATGCTGTCTAATAACGTTATATAATAACGATATAAAATAATACTATAAATTAACTAATAAAGCTATTATTTCTAAAATTAGTAATACAATTAAATGACTATTAATACATCATTCTAGAAGGTCCTGAGGCATCCTGGGGTACCTCATGTGCTTTGTGTTACTTGTGTAGCCTTGCTCTGTACACTGTTATATTAAACAAACTAATAATTAAATATTAAAGCAAATATTGCTTTAAATGGAATTCTGTAAAAAGTGTACTAATAAAATATGTAATAAACTATTGTAAAAATGTCTAAAATAGATAAAATATGTTATAAACTATGTAAATAAACTAATAAAATGATAAAATATATAATAAATATATAAAATATATAATAAAATTTAAGGAAAATTATAAGAAAAATGTTAATAAAAATTCGTTAATATTACAATATGAAGAATTTCAAGATATATAGAACATCATCGAAAATGAAGCAAGCAATGAAGATCTATAAGTATTATGACAAGAAGAATGAGAGGAAAGACTGATGAATAAAGAAGATGTCAAGGATCTTTTTTTTAGTGAAACTTAAGATGAAAAAATAGAAACAAGAAGGTATTTGATAAGAGGCTTTATATTTAAAAAAAAGAAAGAAGAAGCTAAAAGAGAAATAGAAGATGATAATATACTGCAAAAAGTGTTTGATGCAATTAAACCAAGATTTGAAAAAAGGTTTTGAGAATATATATAGAACTTCAGATGCGAACTAATTAATGATTGGAAAAAAGAACACAAAATTACAATTGAAGCTAAATGAAAAAAACAATACAAAAAGAAGAAGAAACCCAGACAAAATCATGAAGACAAAGAGAACAGAATATTAGAAAAAAAAAAAAGAACATTAGCCAAAGAAGAAAAAGAAAGACGAATCTTCAAATGAATGCAAGAGAATAGTCAAAATCTATTTCACTATCGCATTAAGCTAGACTGATCTTCCTGGACCAATATTAAAAAGAAAAAAGGCGGTACTGACAAGGTTAGCAGCTCCCAGCTTATGATCAGAAAGAACAAATCCTCAAAAAGTTGAGGATCCAATGTGAAGCAAATTAGCTGCTTAGGCAGGTTGCACCTGGGCATTATATGCTAAGTAAGTCTTTATTAATACAGGATTTTAGTATAGAATTATATATTTGTAACAAATATAAATTTTGATACTTCCTATTGAAATAATAAAGGCAGGATTGCCAAAAAAAAAATTACTACAGTATAATTACTCCTATCTAAAACTTTTTTTATTAAATAAATTACTCTTGAGCTTTTAACAACGTTGTAGAGCTTATCAAAATACATTAATAGTAGTAAAAATATTAGATTGGCCTGGTGGTTCTTAAAAAATCCTTAAAAAACCTTTTATATACATATAAAATTTTTTTAAAAAAAATCAATTTTTTTAAAGAAATTTTATATATTGGCAAAAGGTTTTTTAAAGATTTCTCAAGAACCACTAAACCAATTTTAATGTTCTTATCACCATTAGATAAACTCTACAATTATTGTTAGAAGCTCAAGAGTGATTTACTTAGTAAGAAAAAAGTTTTAGATAGAAACACTCCATTTTAAGCTTATAGTAAAATTTATATATAAAAAAATTTTTACCCAAATATTTTGTAAACTACCTATTAATATAATTACCAATTTATTTTACTAATTGTTTATAATTATATAGAAAAATACTACTATATTAGTTATACCTCTTTACAATTATAGTTTTTTGTATTCCAAAGATATAACTATAAAAAGGTTTGATTATTTTATATAAAAAACAAAAAAAAATTTTTTATAATAAACTTTGTAATGATTCTTTATTAATATTATTATATATAATTTATACAAATCTGAGCTTAATTTTTAGGTTTGACTATACTTGCTGGCAAAACCCGGACAAATTCTAAATAATAAAAAAACAATTGCTATCTATAAAAAATCAAATCAAATAAATAATCTTAATATTTTGCAAATATATTATTTATAACTATAAGAATATATACAATTTGTTTAAATAAAGATTATTAATAAAGTTTTTGAGATATTGGTGTTGCTAGAATTTGGGATTTGGGATTTGGGATGGCGGACAAATCCCAAACTATAGTAAGTCGGGATTTTGCCAACATGTATAGGTTTGACATTCTCTAACTACTTTGTAAATACCCTGCTATACTAATCTAAAATTAATTTTGAGATCAAAAGGCTAAACAAGATTAGTTATGTAAGCTATACCAAAAAGGCTTGCAATTATTTTATATTAATTTGCTAATATTATTAAAGTCACCCAAAATATTACTAAAACTAATAATTTTAGTTACGTAAATGACATTATAGTTTATCGGGTGACTTTAACCCACGTAAAAATAGAATTTACCTAAAAATAATTGTAATCGAATTTAACGGAGATAAATAATTAGAGAGCTGTGATATCAAGATACATAACATCAATTAAATAAGTTTTTTAATAAAGTTACCATAATATGCCCTTTGAAGTGCTCGGGTATTTTATATTCCACACAGGTCAAGGGAATTACTATGCATTTTGTACCAATCATTTTATGTAATAAAAACTTCTGGGTACCCTTACATGGGGTACTTTAAAGACTTAAAGTGCATTGTAATAATACGTAACAACGATAACGTAATTAAGATTAAGCTATCGCTACGGCATAAGTGTAAAATGTCTTGTCTCACCCAACATTATCTAAATTTTATTTGAAATTAATAGATTTTAAAAATTAAAAATTGCGTATTCTTTTAATAACAACTTCATAGTATACAGACTAAATGTTGGAATTTAGTATATAGAATACGTATTGTGCAAACAATTATTTTCATACACTTTTAAATATTATTACTAAAATATGAAATTTACAATCAATTAAAAATAATGATAAATTAATTTAAGAGATAATTTTGAGTTGTAGTCGAGGATTCAAAAAAACTTGATTCACCTTCAAATAATTATCCATTGTTATGATTCATCGTCACTAGTACTCTCTTCACTACTACTATTGTCACTATATGCTAGTAAAGATGCTAGAGTATTATTAGTAATGTTATTAGTTGCGGTTGTTAATGTTGTCTCTCTGCTTGAATGTGATTCTAGTTTTGAACGTTTCTGATCTTTTGATTGTTCATTAGAGTTAGATGAATGAGTTTCATCATCATTTAATGATCTCTTACGTGAAGGAACGTTGATTTTTTTAATAGCACTCTCTAAAATCATCCGTTGTGCATCTTTCTTTATGGAAGTTTTTATTGGTGCTGAGATAGTTTCAGGTTGAATTATAAGTTTTGGTGCCGCCTCTTCATCGGCCTTGGCAGCAGCTCTGATAAATACAAATTTTAATAAGATATTAAAAACAGACTGATATTTAAAAACGGATCAAACACTGACCGTCTAAATTCTTCAAGTTCTTGCTCAACTTTTTTCATTTTTTCCATTTCTTTACCGCGTTGTTCATGTTCTAATGTTGCCAAAAAATCTATTTCATCCTCATCAAGTCTATGTATCAGATTGCCTGAAAGGGATCACTCAGGATTCAATTTTCTAATTAATTTTATAATAATACTTTGTAAAATCTTTTATCAATAACGTACTGAATCTCGTCATTTCCTGAAAAGCTTCCTCTTTCTTCATTTTTTGTTCCTGTAATTTCTCGTATAATGTACGAGGATCATACTCTTCTTCTATTACTGGCGGCTCTACGAAAGTAAAAGCGGTGAATGATAAAATTCATATTCCTTACGTCGACTATTCATTATAAAATATACTTTCTCCCAGTCTTTCATAAGCTGCTTTCCATTCTTCTGCCCGCTTTTTTCTGGCCTCTTCTATCTCTGTTGAGGAAACAAATTTCTGATCCATGATAAGTAATATGGTTTATCGAAACGCGAGGGATTGGGATTGTGGCTTTTACTAGCTCTAGCGTTGTCATGTGAAAACCCGATACAGTCACAGTCACATTTAATCCAACCAATCATGAGATAAAAATAAATGAAAAATATCGATATCTTTTCGTTTTCAATTCTTTTCGTAATGTCTCAATCAACTCCGATTGAAATCACCATAAAAGGTTTACAAGAACAAATCAAGGAATTAAACGAAATAATTTTGGGTAGTTGTTTTTTTTTTTATTATTTTTATTATTTTTTATTGTGCTTTTTTTTTCTAATACCTACACATATAAAATGAAGGTTTGGATGCTACTACCTCACCAATACTAAAATCTGATCTACCCTCTTCAAACAAAGAAATAGAATTATTAAAAATAGAAAATTTGAAATTAAACTTTCGTATTAAACATTTATTAAACAGTTTAGATAAAAAAGATGATGAAATCTCCAAGTTGAAAAATCAACTGGAAAGTTTAGACGGGAAAAAATTGGGATGATAAAAAAAATATAATTTAATATTACACCAAAAAAAATAAAAGGGAAAAAGAAAAAAAGAGGTATAATAATTGAAAAAAAGAGGCATAATAATTTAATTAAATGAACGAAGAAATATTTTTTCTAAAGACATAGTCTGCAAAATGCGTGATTAACAGATGTTGTCTACTGCTTATTATATCCATAAAACGATCAACGAAAAAATGTGTGAAGCTTTATTTTAGAAAAATAATTGTACTAACTAAAGTGGATGGAAACAATAAAAGATTAATGTAGAAAATGAATTAATGGAAAATACAAAGTTGAAAAATGAATATATAAAACTTTTGAAAAACAAAGAATAAATAAAAATTCTAAAGAGTAAATTCTAATTATACGACCGCTCAATGTTTTTCCTGCTGGATGTAGATTTTTCACAATGTCCGCGACAAGTGCTCTCTCAATGTTAAAGAAATTGCCTATTTATCATTTTATTCTATCTGAGAAGTTACGTAGAACACAAACTGTCTAATTGTTCCGGATAGACTTTGATTATCCATTAATTATCCGATCATCGGTTAATCTCGAATCGGCATAAGTAATGATCGGTATTTCGTCAACTATTATGATGCCGAATAAAAAAAATACAGTATCATGAAAAAAAAATTTGTAAAAAATAAGCAGCACAACACACGATATTTTTTATTTGAATATTTAATCATTTTTTTAATTACAGTGAAATTAAGTAAACTCAAATTACAATAATTGAATTCTATCTATGGCGACAATAAACTGCCAGTAATTCTAAGTTCATATTATGTTAATGATCGGTTGGCCAAAGTTTAATCGTGTTTTTTATAATTTCACCATCGAATTCGCCTCCATGTAAGATTGCTGGTGGTTAATACATCAAACGAAACCGTAAAAGGAAACTTGCAGCTTCTACGTCAGATTTTGTTCAGCAGCAGAGAATCTTGTAAAATGATCGCGGATATGGATAAATTCACCATCTGAAGCCGCTGTCATACTTGTCATATCCACCTTTAAAATATACAGTATAATTAAAAGCCTTAAACAAATAATATATACAGCTATATAAATTCTTACTTAAACATAAGGAAGAACCATTTTGCAATTATAGGCCTTATCGCGGGTACCCGTTTTTTGCACTTCTTGTAATATATATATTGCATTGTTTCACTGCATTTTCAACAATTGTAAAACAGTATCTTTGCCGAATATATAAATTATATATATTTAGGAAAAAAAATTTTTTTTTTTTAAATATTTTCAACCACGTTTTTTCCTGACCACCGTGCTCTGTATTCTGATGAGCTTAACAGATCACAACATATAAGTCTTCAACAGGCAAATTTGTGTACAACGATTTACTTTGAGCGATTCATTATACGCCGTTCATTTTTACGATTATTCATATAGCCATTAACTATTTTTTCAAAGGGTTGATGAAGTCATGTTAGATAAAGATATTGAAAAAAACTTTTTTTCTTTATAAGGGGGATAGGGGTATTATGGCGAAGTTAAAGTTGCTATTATTAAAACTTTTTATTAACCCATATAAACATCCAAATATTTATAGCAAACGATTCAAATTACATTCAAGAATAAACTAATATAAAAAAAAAAAGAGTACAAAAATCAGA